AGAAGTGAGATCTGACTCCTGTCTTCGGATCAGCTGCTCGTCATAGCAAGGCGGGTGTGTGAGTGGTATTGCACAAGCAGCATCGACCACATTCGTATCCACTTCACAAAATGCGGGGGGTTAACGGATCCAGTGCACGACTCGAGTTAGGAGCTCCAGACCAAACATAACAGTAAGTAACCTGCGAGATGAGAACTATCGCATTGTGAGGGGCATAGTGATGGCCTTCTATCTTGCCTGACGGGCAGCTGAGGCGCACGAAGAAGGGTCGGGACGCGCCGGGTGGGCGGTCGGAGATTGGGCGGAGTGCCAACTGAAAAATGGGCCGAAGGGCGTTCGGGTCGACGACGCATACACATCACCACAGTCGCCGACGATGCTCACCTCGCGCGGCGTCACTCGCCTATCCCGCAGAGCGGTTCAAAATGCGAAGAGGAACAATGCCTTCTTCTCCTCTGCCGCCGCCCCCCTCCTCAACAAGGCCGCGAGCCTGACGCGTCCTGCCGCCGCACAGGGCCCCAGCAGCTCCCGCCCTGCCCGCGTTGCCCCCCAGTCTGGTACGGACAGCGTTGTCTTAAGCGTGGTTTATTGAGGCGCTGACGAAAATTTTCCCTGAATTTTGGTGATTTTCTGATGTGCAGCGCGCACATACGCGACGGAAGCTAAGGGTACCATCGGACAGGTCAAGACCGTTATTGGTGCCGTCGTCGACGTGCAGTTCGACACGGAGGACCTTCCTCCCATCTTGAATGCCCTGGAGGTGCAGGATTTCCACGGCGGCAGACTCGTTCTCGAAGTTGCCGCCCATCTCGGTGAGAACTCGGTCCGCACCATTGCTATGGATGGTACCGAGGGTCTCGTCCGTGGGCAGAAGGTCGTCGATACTGGCTCGCCTATCAAGATCCCCGTTGGCAGGCAGACGCTTGGCCGTATCATGAACGTCATTGGCGAGCCCATCGATGAGCGCGGCCCCATTGAGGGTGTCAAGCTATTGCCCATCCACGCCGAACCCCCTGCGTTTGTTGACCAGTCTACGACCGCCGAAGTGTTGGAGACCGGTATCAAGGTCGTTGACCTCCTTGCCCCTTACGCCCGTGGTGGAAAGATTGGCCTTTTCGGTGGTGCCGGTGTCGGTAAGACTGTGTTGATTCAGGAGCTGATCAACAACGTCGCTAAGGCTCATGGTGGTTTCTCCATCTTCTGTGGTAAGTGTCCCGAATCTTAGAAAGATATTGCTCGTCTGACACCATATGTAGGTGTTGGTGAGCGTACCCGCGAGGGTAATGACTTGTACCACGAAATGATTGAGACTGGTGTCATCAACCTCAAGGGTGACTCCAAGGTCGCTCTCGTCTTCGGTCAAATGAACGAGCCCCCTGGTGCCCGTGCCCGTGTCGCCTTGACTGGCCTCACCATCGCCGAGTACTTCCGTGATGAGGAGGGCCAGGATGTGCTGCTCTTCATCGACAATATTTTCCGGTTCACCCAGGCTGGTTCTGAAGTGTCTGCTCTGCTCGGTCGTATTCCCTCCGCCGTCGGTTACCAGCCAACGCTTTCCACTGATATGGGTGGCATGTACGTCGATTCTGATGCAGATACGTATGTGGTAATTGACCCGTCTACAGGCAAGAGCGTATCACTACTACCAAGAAGGGATCTATCACCTCCGTGCAGGCTGTCTATGTGCCGGCTGATGACTTGACGGATCCTGCCCCGGCCACAACTTTCGCTCACTTGGATGCCACGACTGTGTTGTCTCGTTCCATTGCTGAGCTCGGTATCTACCCCGCTGTTGACCCTCTGGACTCGAAGTCTCGTATGCTGGACCCCCGTATTGTAAGTCTCAAACTTTCGAGATATCCGCAATTTCCCTCTGAATGGGCTATATGCGTTATAGGTCGGCCGGGAGCACTACGACGTTGCCACCGCCGTGCAGAAAATTCTGCAGGACTACAAGTCTCTCCAGGATATCATTGCTATCCTGGGTATGGACGAGTTGTCTGAGGAGGATAAGCTCACCGTGAGTTGTCTGTAATATGACTCTCTTGATGGCTACTAATCATCACGTGCATAGGTCGAGCGTGCTCGTAAGATCCAGCGTTTCATGTCGCAGCCTTTCGCTGTCGCCCAGGTCTTCACTGGTTACGAGGGCAAGCTCGTGCCATTGAAGGAAACCGTCCGGTCTTTTAAGGAGATCCTCTCTGGCAACCACGACTCCTTGCCTGAGTCTGCTTTCTACATGGTTGGCACGATTGACGACGCCAAGACGAAGGCTGAGCAGTTGGCGAAGGAGATGGGCGGCTCATAGTCTGGCTAGTTACTGGACGCTGCGCTACATAGGAGAGAGACGCTGTGGCCTGTGGGTGTGCAAAATGTTATAATCCTATACATTTCAATGATCTCCAGTGCGTGCTGGGTGATATATGCGACTGGTTTGTGGTTGCCCAACCATTCAGTCAAATGCGTGGAAATGGCATGTGGATCCATGGATATACATACATACGGCAAGAAAGCAGTAAGCAACTTTACGGGAACCATCAGAGGGGAACTGCAAGAGTCTGTCGGAAGTCCATTTCAGGCCTGTCTTTCTTCTGTCGAGTTATATGTATCAAGACAACGCTATCCCGCTCGGATACAGGCCCCAGAACTGAGTCTGCCATATCGTATGGACTCTAGACTGGCGACCTCAGCAGAGTGCTCCGCAAGGCCTCATCGCCAGGTTGCATTGTGCCAGTAGGGGATGTGAATACGATGGAATGAGTGGCTGCGGAGGCAGCCGCGATTGTCGTACTTTGCTCTTCTGTCATTCCCAGCTCGACAAGAACAATGAAGAGCGTCGGGAATATACTCTGTTTCGACGTTCAGTAGATTATGATGATGACCTTATTGAAGCTTATCGTACCGTAACCAGTCCAGCGGATGCCTGTACCGCATTCTTGAGTACATCCAAAGCTTCAGTACCGACCCAGTGGTTGTCACAAGCATAGTACTTACCGAGTTCACCTGCCAGAACGCAATTGTCAGCGCAAGGATCTCATGAAAATAATAACGCCTTACGTTTCCGGTGTACACTGTGACAACAAGTATCAAGCTTATGATCCAGTATGGGACTCCGCATTCAATGCTAGTGTGGAATTGTGAGAAACCTTTCTAGAAATATGAGATGCATTTACTCACATAAGAGATGCCAGACGGCCGAAGCGAGCCTGGCCAGACAACATCCGCATATTCCGGCGATGCCAGAGAATCCGACCCGCTACGAAGATTGATATACATGTAAGTATCCTTGGAAAGGATCATTGGATTCAAACCACCTAGGAGCCCACTCAAGAGGAGGTTCGTCAGTAACGTGACGGGATAGTAGTAGACGTAGGCGTCCATGGGTATCAAGAAGACGAAAATGATTGGGACTAGACATAGCATTCAGGCAGTGATGAGATACCGCTCTGGGAGGACACTAACGCGTTTCAAATGCAAGCAGAATGAGGAGGAACGCTAATAACTTCTTGTTTCTGTGGAAGAGAATAAAACATCGCCAGGCCTGGCAAGGTAATAACATGAGCTTTAGGGCCTGGGGAGACTTCAGAGCGATCAACGCACAAGAAGTCCGTCAGCAACCATGCTAATATAACAGAGCAGTCTGCGGTAAGCACAATATTATAGAAAGATGTAAGGCACTCACAGCTGCGCATCGAAGATAAACATGCCAGGGAAAACGGATTCAAGGATATCGGGGCAGACAGAGCCAGAATCCGATGCAAGATCGTCCATAACTGAACAGCTGATATCTGCGATATATAATGCTACCTGCGCAGTGGCCATCGCAAATAGCAGGACTGCGGCTGAGAGTGAGATTCTCTTGGTCCCAGCAATTCTCCCTCCTTTCCTACGAGACCTGTAGAGCACATGTATAGCGACGCCGGCAAGAACCACATAAACACCTAGGGTATGGGAATAAGACCGTCTGAAATTTTTTCAGCAGACGTCGCACCGTAAAAGATGCTTAGGAGCTGATATCCGTCTCATTAGGCGGTTTGCACTGTGATGTATGAGTCGGACCAGCAACTTACGGACACGCCAATGACAGAGTTCTATTCATCGTAAATATTCATGTGGAGAAACAGAGAACATAACGTGCTTACACGGGCAAGGAATGCAGTATAATCCATAATACCGGGGATCTGTTTGTAACAGCTAAGACATCGATAGGTGTCCTTATATCATGCTGAGGATAGTATAAGTATAGCAGCTTACGCATGATCCGAAGGTATACTCCATTCTGTCCTCTTCCCTCAGAATCGGCGACTCGGAGGAGATACTTGATGGACCAATTGGCAGATCTGAGCTTGTTTTGACGTTGGGCGGCAGTAGGCTAGCTAAAACCGCCCGCCCAGTTAGCTAGTGGATACTATGCTGTCTGTATGGTGTAGGTTTGTAATTGGCATGCCGTCACCGGAGGGCCAACTTGGCCAACTTGGCTTTGTTCATATAACCTATCCAGTGAGACGCGCGTAACGAGCTCGAGCCGCCTCCTTTGTCGACCATGATCTTGCAGAATAGCAAGTTAGCCATAGTTACTGGTCTTGCTACTCGCTAGCAGCGATGGACTGACTTGATGGAACTTGACGTTGACGGATGGTGGACAGATCTCAGCTTGTTGTGACCTGGGAGGCGTAGAGGTGCATCATCCATGAGGCTGTAGGGTAGCTAATGTTAGCCTGATAGTTGAAACGAGAAGGGCCCTGGTACTCGCCATTAGACGAAACGGAGCGCTCTACCGCATCTTTCGAGGCATAAATTCCGGAACCCCGTTACGGAGACAGTCATAGGTATATAGGTATCAGTCAGTGACCACAGTATTCAGTGACCACAGTATGATGGCTCCTGCCAATCACCGCGGTCGGGACTAACTGACAGATGGGGGCAGTTTCAGCCTCATCATCTCGCTCGCCTTCCAAAGTCGCGAGAAAACGAACGTCAGCAAGGCTGGAACCAAAAGACGACACCGACAGGACTCGAACCTGTGCGTGCATAGCACAAGAGATAATAGGATTTAAATTAATTCTAATCTCTCGCCTTAACCACTCGGCCACGGTGTCTTAATAAGGAATATCTTAGTGCAATTATATACTCAAAAACAACGATTTTCCACATTTATACAATGGCGCTGAGATGGGAGCGGACGCATTCTTGTATGAATCGACTACTCAGGACATAGCCAGGTGCGGATGATGATCCCTACAATCGAGGAGATCGCGGGCTACTTGGAGTCTATCGAAGAACTCTTCCTGTCCTCTACCTCTGACATCCCTGATTTCCCGAATGTCCGCGATGCCGTTCACCGTGTCTGGGCGGACATTTCACGCTTTGGCCCCCCAGGATGGTCGTCCTTCCCGGACATACATCTCCCTAGTCTAGGAGACTTTGAGATACCGCCTCCTCCACCTCCGCCTCCGCCTCCCAAGTCGTTCATTGGAAAGTCCATCGATTGGATATCGGACCATCCAAAGTCCACAGCTGGAATTGCAGTAGGGGTCGCGGGGGCTGGACTCTTGGTAGGCTACGGATCGTTTGTTGCTCGGGCGAACTATAGGCGGAACAAGAGACTGCAGGCAAGAGGGACAGATGAGCGGCGTCAAGTTGTCGGTCAGTCCTTGTACGGTATTTCACGCTAGCGAAGATATGACTGACATCCGGTTGTCCAGTGGTATTGGGTGGTGACACACCTCTTGGACTTCCTCTGGTCATCGAGCTTGAAAAGCAAGGCTTTATTGTCATTACGAGCGTCGCCCACCCTGAAGCTGTAGATGACATAGAAATGAAGTGCCAAGGCTACGTACGCGCCCTGGTGTTGGATCCCTCAGAGGTACATACATTCCTTTGCCTGTCTTGTACCAAACTAATATGTTCATAGCCGGATACCCTGACCTTCTTCATGCGGTCCTTAATGTCTACATTGTCCCGGCGTTTCCCGATCACAGCAGCCGGTGACCCTTACGCTTCGCCTTTGACCGGTCCCTACATACATTCGGTTGTTTGCCTCTTGACACTGCCATCTCCCGCTCTTCAACCCCTACCAGCACCCCTCGAGCATATCTCGCTTCGGAGTTCATACATGTCTTACCTTACCGCCACGCACATCACCCCGCTCCAAGTGATTCAAGCACTCTTGCCCATGCTCCGCTCGACACATGCCAGAACCAGGGACTATTTCTCCAACAACAAAGGGAACAAAGGGAAGAAGAGCATCATCTTCTGTCTACCTGCTATGGATGCCCGGGTTGGCCTGCCCTTCGCGAGCGAACAAGCAATGAGCGCAGCAGCCACCCTGCGCGCAATTGAGATTCTCCGGCGCGAAATCCGCATCGCAGCTTTGTCTGATCCGACTGAATCTATGAAGAATATCAAAGTCGTCGCGGTAGACGTGGGCGCAATGGCCACGCCTAGGCGTCGCTCCACTGTACCCATGCGAGACATAATTGGTTCGATGGATGACTGGACACCCTCGGAAAAGCACACGTACGGCAGTGCTTTCCTTTCTGCCGTCGAGGAGGGCCTGCTACGGGGTACCCGGAGGAAACCCACTGACGTTGCCCGATTCGTGGACACTCTGGTCACTGTCGTTAGCGGTGGTCGTACATCAAGAATGACCCTCCTGGGTCTCGATGTCGGTCTGGGCAGGATTAGAAACTGGATTCGAGGGGAGAGGTTCGCTGTCGGTGCTGGTGCTGGCACTTATGCCCTCGCTTCATACCTCCCGACATTGATTCTTGATGGACTGCTCAACCTGCCGCACTTCCTCATGTCCATCCGGAATGCTCTCGTTCCTATTGCTCCCCGGGTGCCATTGCCTAGCACTCTGGCGGTCGAGTCGACCTACCCGCCGCCAGTGCCGCCTGAGACGGGGGTGCAGGCTACGAGCAGCGATTCCGCTCCGAGCAGTGAGGGGGAGCACCAGGATGGTCATGACAACGACAGCGCATCCGAGGCAGATGTGGAAAGTAATGCGGATACGGGCGGTGTCAGCGAGAGCTGGGTTAACCTCCACGATAGGATGACCGAATCCCACGTCGGTATCGATGGGCCTTGATGGACCTCAGCGTCCTGTATAGGCGTATTGTGAGCGGCTCAATCGTTGCTTGTGTATGATGGATGGTGGTTGATTTGTAGCAGATGTACATGGTTCGCGATGGTGGCTTGTATAAGAATAGTTTCTTGACTTTATACAATTGATGTAATCGTAGTTGCTTTGGACTGTACATCGACGTTAATATCGTCTCTGCTCAGTTACATCAGTCACCACTCAATGTATATGGCCGTCTACCCAGCTTGTATAGTGTACTCCACGTTCCTGCCGTAGACAACGGCTCTCCCCCTTTCTTTACCCTGTTTATTGTCCCGAGGGCATAGCCCTTCGTTCGACATTTCATGACGTGTGTACTACAAGTTCTTCAACCAGCAATAACAGGGGTCTGCGAAACATGCGCAGATAATGGTATACCAGTCTTTCCTGTACATATCAAATGCATGGCACGGGTGAGCCACAGAGTGAAGGAAGGCACAGACACACTACGAATTTTGGGCCTACGCTGGTGTGACATGCGACGCGTCAATCACGTTATCTGTCACAGTTGTGCCGAGAAGTAGGAACACCGCCTTCCAGTGTTCGATATCCTGCTAAGAACCCCACTACAATCATTCACTGAGTAAACATTCCGATTAAATACTAAGTACTTGAGTACTGACTTGCGCCTCGTCGACCGCTGTCGTAAATACCATCAGGCTGGCCGCTGCTCTTGCCAGCCTCGGGAGACCGCTTTCGCCCTTTCCACCTTCTCCTCGCTTTTCCCCACAGTGCTGATCACCTGTTCCACTGTCCTTATTCTTACTACTCGTCGTCATGAGCCTGGATGCCCTCATCAATCGTCTGGAGCCAACCGCGTTCGAACAGTTCAAAGCCGACCCGCTGCGTTTCCTTGCACGCAGAGCATATGCTTTCAGCACACGCTGGAGGAGAGCGCACATGCCTAACAGCAACACGCCCGTCCGCGTCGTCTGCATCTCTGATACTCACAGCCATCACCAGGAACTCCCTCCGCTAGTGGACGGTGATATCCTCATCCATGCAGGAGACCTCACAAACTCGGGTACGGAACAGGAGCTGTACTCTGCATTGCAGTGGCTCGCGGACCAGCCCCATCCGCATAAGATCTTTATTGCCGGTAACCACGACAAAGCCCTTATTGGTACAAATCCTGAGCGTGCCGCCATCCTCTCCGCCTTCCCCTCTCTCACCTATCTCGAAGAATCATCATTGACGCTCAACGTGCGAGGGCGTACACTCGTCGTATACGGCAGCCCTTTGACCCCTAAGCATGGGTCCTGGCCATTTCAGTACCCTCGCTCCGCTCCAGAACAAGCCCATTGGTCGCAGATTCCGTTGCATACAGACATTCTCGTCACCCACGGCCCGCCCGCTCACCACTGCGACCTTGGGAGCGGATGCGCGTCACTTCTCGCTGCACTTTGGGCGGTGCGTCCGAGGCTGCATGTCTTCGGGCATATCCACGCAGCGCGAGGCGTTGAGCACCTGGCCTGGTCCTCCGCACAAGCCGCTTATGAGCGTTTATGTGCAGGACGTGGGAGGTGGTGGGATCTGTTTGTAATAATATTGGGCATCTGGCGTACTGCTCTGCTCTCGACAACGCTGGTTAACGCAGCATCTCTTGGGGGCTTTAAGGACGAAAAGCGGCGCCCCCCTATCGCTGTTGATATTTAACAGCCCTATCCTCGATATGTCCTGACGACTTAGCCGCGCCAAGCACCTACCGTGGACACTTTTAGAGAACACTGGGTGAAACCTAGGTACAAGTAGGCGTCCGTGACCTCGAGGTCATATGTACGTAGCTCCCATGGAACTCGGAAATCCAGCGAGGAAATTCTAACATCTACAAAATCGATAATCGTACAGATATTGCCTGCCGCGTCCGACCAAGTCTTGACCGCGCTAGTAAATACAAGTCTTGAGCCAATGATGATATGCATAGCTTCATGAAAGGCCCGCGTGCTCATACTTCTTCTGATATGCATCGGCGAGGCTCTGAGTCAAAGAACTGTCGGCCACCGTGCACTTGAACTCATTCGCCCACTCTTGCAGTCTACCACGGGGAACCGGCTGCTGAGTCTTCTGGACGATTTCATGCAAGTACGTAACGGCGTCTGAAAGGTCATACGGCTTGGCGCCGGGCTTCATCAGTCTGTCCAGCTTCGTCACCAAAGCGTAGCGCCATGGTGCTGCCAACACCGTGAGGCCTGGAGCACTGAAGACGACTGCTCTCTGAGTCTGCGCCTCACGGTATAAGGCAGCAATCTGTTCCTCCTATAAAGGGGTGAGTACGTGCTTTCGTGCCCGGGGAGCATGATACTGGCCTGGATGAATACGACGGTGTGGTTGTTGAGCCACGCCTGGCCGATACTGCGGGCTTTCGCGACATCTGCCGCGGCCTTTACGACCGCGGAAACGTCGTCGTTCTTCTGTTTCGTCTGGTAGAAGAAGTCGACGTCGCCCGTCGCCGCACGTGAGCCCAGCAGAACAGTGTTCACAGCTCCGCCAACGGCGACGATAGTGACATCCTTGCCTCCATCGTGCAGCTGTTTGGCGACGAGATTGAGCAACTGGGTGATTTGATTGCTGGTGAAGTCCTGTTCCGCCTCCCCTGGCCGGTTGACAAGCTCGCGCAACGTGTCGGCGCCATTCTTGGAGACAATGCAGCCCATGATAATTCGGATAGACGAGGGAACTGGTGAAGAGCAAGAGAGGTCCGGATCTCCAGTTATTTATACCTTCAGCCCGTCAGATTTCCTCTCTGACGGGCGAGAATGACATGTGACATCCCTTATATATGAGGATGTGATGGCGAGGCCGTGCTGTGGAAGTACACTGAGCTGAGCTGACTCGGAAAGTCATCTTCGATAGCGTCCACAATTGAGCTATCATTGACGAAAGATGGAATCTGTTGACGCCGCGGCTGTTCAGTACAGCATAGTACGCACTGCTGGCACCGCTTCTAATCGATAATTAGCCAAGAGTGCTCCATCG